AGCCTTTAACCTCACTTCATCTTAGGTCCTACCCACACTCTTCCCTTGCTGTTGTCCTTCCCAGGGCTTGGTAACCTCCTGCAAACACTCAGGACACTCCAACTTCTGTTGCTGCTCTAAGACCTCACCATGCTTATAGTGTAAAGTGGGTGGCTGGGGAGTCTAGTTTTGCAAAAGCATCTTCTGGTTGGGCTTTTTGGTCAATGCTACTGGGTGTAAATGTGAGCTTCTATTGGGCAGAGGCTTATGGTGGGATATACCGGGGACACTGGGTATTTCAAAATTCCTTCCCTGCCAGAGGGAAGGAAGAGAGAGGAGAAGAAGCATAGAAACAGAGAAGCAGCCTCCTTTCCCCTCCAAAATGCAAGTGTTGAGCCTGTCAGATATAGTAATCCATTTTAGGCTGGAAAATCTTAAACGGGATTTGTCCAGGACAGCAAGCACACTTCAGATTAAAAGGCAGAATAAATGTAAAGGAAATAATAGATAAAAGGTACTCTTCTCTCCAAGTGGATAACATAATAAAACCACTCTTCTTTGCTGTTGCTAAAGGAAAATATGCAAGTATTTCTATTCTAGTGACAGGTCATTGCAGGAAAGGGTACGCACTCAATGACAGTCCTTGAGCCGGAGGTGTACTTCACATGGGGTTGATAATTTAACCTACCTGCGTGCTCCTCATTTAGTAATGACAGCGTGCTGTCTGTGATATGTTCCATGGCTCTCCTATCTCTCAGTACATTATATGGTCAAGTAGCACAGTCCTGCTTTTCCTCCCATGATTGCTTAAAGATCTTATGTTGCCTTCCAGTAAAGCACTCGGTCAGAGACTGAAGTGGCATTACAATGAATGGCAGCAACACTTCATATGGGAAAAGGTTATTAAAACCAAGCTAGTTTTTAACCATTTTTATCATGAGGAAGAAATGCCGGCATGCCACCAGTCCAGATATAATTCCAACCAAAGGGTCTCTCTGCAAGCACAGGTGGCCAGTGGGGACATTGATGCACATGATGAAGCAGATCAGAGAACAGAGACTAGTTAATATAAAATAAATCTGCTTTTAATAGTAAGTGCCTCTTCCCCTCTCTGAATACTATGCGGACAAGCTCAAGAATGGCATAGTAATGGATAAGATAACGTCCCGTGGCAGCCAGGAGACTGTGGTCTGATCCTTAACATAGTTCATGAGGCCAAGTGCAGATACTGCAATTAACAGAAGGGTCTCAGATGTCAGCCCTCTGGCATGGTGCTGTCCTCCTGGCTGATTTCTCATAACTACGCAAGAGGTTGCAGGGCCCTCTGGTTTCCTCAATGACCCTTGAGCAAACTTTCCTCAGAGACCCTGAAGTTGAGCGTCCTGACTTACAAACATTGCATTTCATCTATGTGTGGTGGGATCACCAGTGCCAAAGCAGAAAGCTCCACCTGCCATTATGGGGCAGTTTCAGCATCAAATTATGAAACAAAATGTTGATGAACTGAAGAGAATTGGACAAAGCACGGCCACACAGATGAAGGGGCGGTAGAAAGGGAGAGAAAGTATGTGTAGGGGAAAACATCAAGGAGTGGAAAAAAACATTCTGAATGGAGAATATGGCGTATATAGAGAAGAAATGGGTGAGACAAAGGAAAGTAATATTCAAGCTTACTAGTGGGAGAAACACCAAGAACTAGTCATGGCAAGAAAAATACATTGTAGGAATAGATGAAACATTAATTGCTTTGAGACTTCTAGGTGAAACCTGGCCAAACCCACACATGAATACAGAACTACTGGCCTTGGGGAGAGGGGCGAGACATGTACCTGCTTTTCTTGTAAAGTCCAAAAATAAGTTAATGGGAATGATTATGCATTTTAACCAAACTAAGCCACAGAACAGTGCAGTAAAAATGTACAGATGCTATTAATGCTGTTTTCCAGATACTTCTTACATTCTCAGCTCTGTGATTGTCCCGCTTATCACTGCAAGAGTAAATGGTATGGTGAAGAACTAGATACTTGGATTGGAAATCAAAAATGCTCATAGATCTTTGACCTCTGTGTTCCCATAGTTCTCACCAGATTTTAAAATTTAATAGTGGTGATGACAAAACACTGTTTTTTGTACAATCCAGAAACATTACTAAAAACTTGTAATTCCCCCAGTACAGACACTGACTGTTCAGAGTGTCAAAAAAAGGTATATTTTAGTGTCCCAGTATGAAGGCACAAAGTGAACTAAAAGGCAGTGACAAGATAATTAGGCTTAGTAACAACCACTGACTTCAGCATGTCTACGGCCATCTTGTTAAATAAGACAAACCTCAGAAAGCTGGGCATGAAACACGTTTTTAGCATGGTGATATAGGGCAGCCTGCCAAGAAATGGAAAGGCAGGTGCTGCAAGTAGGTAGCCTGGGTTCATTTACTATTGTAGGACTTCATCTTGACAGCAGCAAACTTCTTAGAGCTCAAAATACAAAAGAAGGAGATGTGCAGTATGGTTTACCAAAAATATGCAATGTTGAAGCCCTGGGAGGCTACATTACTCTAGTAACATCAAGCTGTCAGCTGCACTGATGTGCGAACATCTGTCCCTCCAAAGCTGGGGAGGACAGATGTGGGGCAAAGGACAGGACCTGAGAAAGACCCTCTCCCCTCCAAACATGGATGTGTATAATCAGCACCTACCTGTTGGGTTCAAATGTGTGCTATACTGTGTTCAACTTGCTATCATAAAATAACAGTGACTTGAGACTGCAACAGTAGGAGCAGGTATTGAAAGTAGCCAAGGTGTCTGGTCTCCATATCTGAATGTGCTTGCAGTGTTCTCAAATAACCTATTGTCCTATCTGAGGTCAAACATGTTTCACTAGTATCTGGGGTGACCTTACATAGCACAACTCGCCATTGGATACCTCAGCTGCCTTAGCTTAGAGGGATACCTCAAGAATTCACAAATCAACAAAAGAGTTCTGAGGATGTCAAAGGCACTCCAGCAAGTGTTCATCTCTAGATTAATCTCAGCTCCATTTTGCAAAAAGCACCCCAATGGTCCTTCTACTCCCTTGTTGGGTTTAGACTGTACCACACTTGGTGTAGCATCCAGTTCTTGGGGATACTTTACAAATACAAGTGACAATATGGTTCTTGTAGAGATGGAGAAATTAAAGTACGTAATTCCAACATTCCCACTGCCTTTTAGTGAAGATCATGCATCACATCAGTTCAGTTTCCCAGACATTCTCCATGGGGGTGCTATTTTTCAGGCTCTGTGTTATTTTACTTTATTTGCAAATAAATTGACATTACACATTTTCCAGCAAAGACAAACAGCAGCATCTCATTTGATCATGTATTTTATGCCTTCTGCTTAACTAAATAACTTTGCTTACACCAAGAAAACATAAATACCATCTTTTAACTTCACCAGTGTCTTTCACGTATTTTTGTTAGGAAGTAACAGTACCCGTCCATTAGAACAGGTGATGAACCCAACTCTGGATAGTTTGGATGATTTTTTCCAAGCACGCTTGGTGCTGATGCCTGCTAGACAGAATAATGAGCCCAGGGAATGATTTCTTAGCTCCTGTGGCACTTGCACTATTTTCATAAGGAAAAGGAATACCTCTTTGCATAATGCATTCATTTTTGCAATAAGCTGTGAGTCCAGGAAAACCTCATACTGTCAGTCAGTGGATTAAATGAGCAGCAGCAGCTGTAGCCACGTGATAGAAAAAGCCAGGCAACAGGGTTGTTTGCATTGCTGTACTACATAAACATGACTTCTGCCGCTTAACGCCCTCCCGCTGGGTGCTTCATGCTGCATCATATGCATGTCATGTTATGTTAGGCTGGACATCAACAGCAGCAAGGGAGCTGGAAAACAGAAGCACCCTCTGCACAGGGGAGGCTGCACTGTGACTGTACCAGCTCCTCATGACCTGATGTACTTGGGAACTCCAAGAAGAGAGTCAAAATAACTGTAACAAGCTGCAATAAAAAGAGTAGCTTGTTTTAGCTTTCTGAGTATTCTCAGACCTTACCTGAATACCTTATAACTGTGCTTCTGTAATTTATTACTTCCCACTCCTACAGCTCTACCAGGCTCAATAATGAGACCATGAATTTTTAAAAATGAAGCACCTCATGTCACGGTTTCAATGTGCCTAAGAGGTTTGGGGTGGTGAAACAGGCATGTGGCATCTACACCTCTCTGGAACAGGTTGCCCGGAAAGGTCATAGATGCCTTATGCCTGGAAATGTTCAAGGTCAGTTTGGACGAGGCTTTGAGAAACTTGGTCTAGTTGAAGATGTTCCTGCTCACTGCAGGGGGGTTGGACTAGATGGCCTTTAAAGGTCCCGACCATTCTATGAATCTATGATGCCAAAGCAAGCCACCCCAAAACATCTTCTCTTCAACTGTTTCAGAGTTGTTTCTTTGGCACTCGAGTACAGCCAGACCAAAGGCTGCCCACAGCCACCCAGAGCAGAGTGGGTGGCCCAGGTTGGCTGTTACTCTGTAGTAACGTCCTTCTGAGGCTGAACACTAAACCATATTTCCGAAAGCAACCTAAACACTCATGGTGCAAATCACTACAGAAAGCAAGTAAGTTGCAAATTTATGAGCCATATTCTCATTTTGGAAGGAAGTCTGTGCCGCTGACACTGGCTGCTACAGTGGAAAATTTGGCCTCTTGTCTTGCTCTTTGTTCAGTAAAATGTTTAGTGGGCTTGAGGGCATCATAATCTATAAACACAAGTTTAATAATTTACTTATCTTGGGGATTTCAGCCTCTGAAGCATGTATGCCTGTGGACACCACTGATAAATCCCAGTTAAGAATGACTGCCACTTCCCACAGGACAGGCAGCATCTTAACAAACCCATGAGTAATACACAGGGAGCAACACATGAAGCCAGGAGGAAGTTTCACTGCACTTTGTGATTTTTTTGGATCTAAAATTACTAATTGTCCATACCCAATAACTGCTTCCCTTTTTCCTCTAATTTGAACTCATCACTTCTAGCTGATAACTAGATGTATTAATGAGTGACAGTTGCCTTCAGTAAAGATGCAGATAATTGCCTCTCTGGTATAATATACCATGAATTCCTGCCAATATGTCATAAACGTATCTTCCCCACCCCCAACTCATTTGCTTTCTGGAAAGGCCTGTAGCACAGAGATCTCTGTTGTACTAAGGGTCTACTCTGACACCACGCATCCCTTACCGATCATGGGAGACTCTATGAAACTCCATGAATTAGTCTGAGGGATGTAGGACTGCAAGACCCCCGCAGCTCGGCCGGCTTCATTCACCCCACCAAAGACGTAGATCTTCCCACCACAGACAGTTGCAGCGGCTGAATGGACGGCCTTTGGCAGAGGAGCGATGGTCTCCCACTGGTTGGTTATCGTATCGTACCTAGGAGAACAGCAGCTGGAATGAGCTGAGATGACACAATGCCGGGCAAGACAGACAGGCAGAAAAAGCAGGCTGGGATATAACAGAAAAGCAACTTGACAAGCAGAAGAAAAGCAGAGGTGGAAATGTATTTTTTAACATCCTACGAATTCAGGCACTTGGTAAACAGTGTAATTAATGCTTTTTCTAAGCTTTTAAAACACTGAGAAAAACCCAGAGAAATCTGGTTCTACTTTCCGTATATGCCTCTCAAATCTCATTATAGTTCAAGCTAAAGAAACTCAGGACATCTTTGTTAAGATGTCTTCCACTAATTAATTTCTTTTAATGAGTATACAATGAGATTATTCTTGCAAATCAGTGCAGTGATATCCAATAGCGTCTGCAGGCAGGCAACTGTTAATGTTCTTCAGTTGTTCAGCTTGTGGAACACATCTCACCTGCACATAATGCAACGTGATAACTCTTCTGCCTCTGGTTAACTGGCCAGCAATGCACATTGTGTGCCAGAATAAGCTGCTTCCATTTAATTTTCATTGTGCAAACCAAACTACTGTGCTTCATTGCAGGATGCTGCAAACGTTAATGCTAGAATAAGATTTCACCATTGCATCCATATTTGACATGAAGCAAACAGAAAAGAGTAGGCATGAAAGTGCTAAATTAGTTCTAAGGTCATCAGTATCTGATTTAATTAAGCCATTGACCATAAGGGATGCGCAGTTAATAATCCATGGATGAAGATTCATTTTAGACAATGTCACAAGTACAGATGTCAATTTTTTTTTAAAAGATAATGCGGCAGGGATCCAAATAGCTGCTCTAAAATGAGTCTGGGAGACAGTACAAAATAACATGATTTTTAGGCTTCTATATTTCCATGTAATGGCACATTCAGTCGAATAGGAGTTTCCTGCATAGCGATTATTCAGAATTGTTGACTGTAAGAACAGAAGCCCTCATCTCCCATTCAGGCTTTTTGCTCTTAATATTAGTGATATGCAATATGCAAACATGAAATGAAACCACGGCCATGAACTCGTCTGTAAAAAATGATTTAGCAACAGGGGATTTTTCCCTTTATAACATGTCCCTCAAGTTTTCACCGCCCAAACTTCGGGAAAATAAAAGGGAGAAATTCTATAAATGGTGGAAACAGCACAAGAATGATGTGCTTAATGAAAACGCACTAATGAGTTTCCAAGTAATATAACTGAAAGTAATTAACACACTCATAAAACTGAGGCAAAAGCAAGAGGGAGGCAAACTTTAACTAAAAAAAAAAAAATTAGGCAAGTCCTTTCTAATGAGCATGGAGAACTGCCTTGTACAATGCTCTGAATTAGTTACCGAGAAATTAAATTCATCTACAACAAGTGATCAAAGGGGAGAAATATAACAAGATTAAACAACACGGTGCTGGGAGCAACCAACATGACACACCTATATTGGGCTGATTCTTAACACTTAGTACCAAACCCGAGCCTGCAGATGCATTTTGACTGCACAAGCACCTCCTCCAGGGAAGGCAGCATATGCTGCATCTCCTGCATTTGCCCACAGCACTTGGGGCAGCACTCAGTCCATACTAGCAGATATGCAAAAATCTTGCATAATACAGTTTCATACACTGCTTTTGGGTTACACTTTGCTAACTCATCTACAGCAGTAATTTGGGGCTTGGTAATTTAATTCTTGATGTCTTACTAAAAGCTGGTTAAGAAATTGGCTATAATTGGTTAGAAATGGGAAAGCAACAATGCCAAGGACTGACCTAATGTTCCTTTCCAGCACTTTGGCTTCTAAGATACAAATTATACCTGCCACTCGATATGTATTGTCTCACACCATCCACTCTGACCTAGCACCAGGAGTATTTGTGGCCAGTTGAAGTGGCCCAAGATGGGACAGTCAGTGGCTACACTGCCTTCCCTGGTGGTGGCAGAAGTACCTGGCAGACCACAGTTCCCAAAACAGATGTGTTCCTCCCAATGACTTTCTGATCATTCCAATATGTTTTTGGGAAGGTGGGGTTACATCCTTCACATATCCTGCAGGCTGGGTGCGGCTGAGGACCAACGTCTATAGGAATACTGGAGAAAGGGTCCAATTACAGAAACAATTATCCTTTTTCTGGATGAATATCATTACTGGGACTTCAGGTCCCCCAGATCCCACTTCTCACCCACTTTCATTGTTGTCCGTTTATGTTTTATGATGACAGAACTGATCTTTCTCTCACCCTGCATCTGTCACTGGAAAACCACAAATGACCAGTTTCACTTCATCTGCTGAAAGCCAAAGGCTGGATATAGGTGCAACTGAAGCTTAAAAAAACACTCTTGTCTTGAGGGTCATGTGGTTTAAAAAATCAGTGAACCATGAAGTAGGTGGAAGCAAGTCTCTGTCCACCTAATACAGACATATAATGTGGGTTTTACATAGGCTGTATAGTGAAGCAACCCTCTTACAAGCCTAACTTACCCCTGGGGCTGAAGAAAAGATGACGATGCCTTCAAGGCTTCCTGATATGTGTCCATCAAGTCCCTCCGTCCCCCTGGGAAATTTATTCCTCTAGTTCATTCCCTCATTGCAATACTGTAGACCTGATTTCTAGTCTCTGTTTTGCTTCAGCTCCCACCCATGAGAAAGTGTTTCTTTTCCTGTTGGGATTATAAAGCTGTCTACTATCAAATCTCTCTCTTGCACAAATGGACTTGTAGAAAATAATAGTCACCTCTTCACCTTCTATGGGATGAACTAAGTAGTCTAAGCTCCTTAAGTCTCTGCAAGGCAGGTTTCCATCATTTTGGTCTATCTCAAGTCAGCTCCTTATGTGTTCACACAAGGATTTGCACCAGATTAACTAAATTGGTTTAAAAATGAATAAAGTTGAACCTTTGTAACCTTCCAGGACAGGAAATAATGACACCTGCTTTACCTCTCTGCCCTAGGGCCTCGCCATGTGTCGTGTCATCTCCGGTGTTGCTGTCACTCCACTGTCACTACTGCTAGTGGGGCTCCTCAGCTGCTTTTAATGCCATCTCTGCTCAGGGGCCAGCAGGGAGAGAACTGATTTAAAGAATAATCACATTGATCTCTTTCCATTAGTCAAGCTTTGCATTTGATTCCCCTGTTTGAAGCCATAGATGGAGACTTAATGGGAGCTGGCTTCAAGCCAAGCAAAGGTTTTTTCCCCTCTCCTCCACTGCTCCCTCCAGTCCTGGTGTTTCCATACCTGTCCTTGGCTATGGGCCTACCAACCCATCCAATCTCCTGAACTTGTAACTTCAAGGACATCTCCTTTCACATGACTGACTCCTGGTTTTGCAGTCCTTGTACGCTACGGACTCACACGTGGTTTTATACAGATGCCCTCGCACACCTCCCTCTGCCTTCAGAGCAGTCCCTGCAACCCTGCTCTCCATGGCCCTGCCAGGCTCCAGACATCAGACTTTTAATTCATGCAGGACGTGTGTCCCCCTGCCTGTCTCTTCATGTGCACCAAGCACCGTTGTCTCACCTGACCCTTGTGCAGTTACTGTCCTCTAGTTTATGTGTTATTTATGTACTCATGATATGGCAAATCATCTGAACTCAGCAGAAAATGCATCCCAGGACTGAAAAGAGCACACGCAGAAATTACCTTGCTGGTTTCCACAACTCTCCACCTCCTTTCTTGCTCTTTACATAGTATTAATAGCAGAAAACCATTCATTTCAAGCTGTGCCATTTGCTCCTCTGCCTTCTTGACTTCTGATCTCTTCAGTACCTGAAAAGACTATTTTTTTTCCTCCTCAGTCTCTTTAATTTTTTCCTTCTAGGTTAAACAGCCCCATGAGTATCTTCATTTATTCGCATTATAAAATTCTTACACCACAGTTAGTTGCTTACAGACATGTACCCTCCAGTTTCTTATACATTATTTAATTATATTTGCAGGAAAGCCACTATTTAAAATAAAGCTGTACAGTGGCATATTGATCTACTCACGAGATAATTCATATGTTGTTTAAAATCACATTAATGGATTGCTGGGTTTTGCCTTTTTTATTTTCTTTTTGAACTGTTCTGAGGGGCTTAAGAAATTATCCTTGGAAAGGCTATATATTTAATTTTCTTAAGACATCATAGAATTATAGAATCATATAGCTTGGAAAAAACCTTTACGATCATCAAGTCCAACCATTAGCCTAATACTGCCATAGTCCACCACTATAGTCCACCACTAAACCATATCTCTAAGCACCACATCTACACTTTATTTAAACACCTCCAGGGATAGCGACTCCACCACTTCCCCGGGCAGCCTGTTCAGTGCTTGACAGCCCTTTCTGTAGCGAAATTTTTCCTAACATCCAATCTAAACCTCCCCTGGTGCAACCTGAGGCCATTTCCTCTTGTCCTATCACTTGTTACTTGGGAGAAGAGACTGACTCCCACCTCACTACAACCTCCTTTCAGGTAGTCATAGAGAGTGATAAGGTCTCCCCTGAGCCTCCTTTCCTCCAGACTAAATGACCCCAGTTCCCTCAGCCATTCCCCATAAGACTTGTGCTCCAGACCCTTCACCAGCTTTGTTGTCATTTGGATCCGCTCCAGCACCTCAACGTGTTTCTTGTAGTGAGGAGCCCAGAACTGCATCCAAGGTGCTGTCTCACCAGTGCTGGGTACAGGGGGATGATCACTGCCCTGGGCCTGCTGGCCACACTATTGCCGATAAAGGCCAGGATGCCGGTGGCCTCCTTGGCCACCAGGGCACATGCTGGCTCATGTCCAGCCGGCTGTTGACAAATACTACCAGGTCCTTTTCCAACAGGCAGATTTCCAGTCACTGTTCCCCAAGCCTGCAGCATTGCATGGGGTTGTTGTGACCGAAGCGCAGGACTTGGCACTGAGCCTTGTTGAACCTCATACAACTGGCCTTGGCCCATTGATCCAGCCTGTCCAGATCCCTCTGTAGAGCCTTCCTATCCTCAAGCATATTAACCAGAATATAC